TGCGCGGGAAGAGGCTGCTGAGCTTCTCGTGTCCCCCGGAGTTTCTCGCCTTTATCATCTTAACATGTATTTGTTTCCCTCCCTGCCCCTTTGCATCGAGCATCACAGCGCTGTACCCAGACCCACCAGTGCCCCAGACCGAGCGGTAGGGTCTGGGTCATGCTTTCGGGGGATTATTTTTTCCTGGATGGAAAAGGGAGCAGCTCCCAGCTGGGAGGGGAGCTCGGATGCAGGCAGGAAGTCCTTGCCGGCACCCTGGGGGTCCTCCGCTCCCCCATGCAGAAAGGGAGAGGGCCGTGTTGTGGCATGTATAAGTAGCACATTTTGAGCCGTTCAGGTGTTGCAGCTCTGTGAGCGAGAGATTTTCCTCCTGCTTGCATAAGGTTTACATGAAGGGCTGGATCGGGGGGAAGGATCTGATGCTGGGGTGAGCACCCTGCCCGCGGTGCGGTTTTGCAACAGCCACGTGGTCCATGGCAAGTGTGCCAGGGCACTGCACCGCCTCGCCACCGTCCCGTGACGGGCGCAATGGGACCTGTGCCCACCCTGCAAACAGCACCCAGCTCTCCTGGTGAGGCTGGTGTGTGCGCCTCCAGGATAGACCCATCCCTGCTCGCAGCCTTGGGCACCTAACGAGTCCAAAGCCTGTAAGTGAGAGATTTATGGCTGCTCTGACCTTGCAAAATTGCTGAGTCAGATGGTGAAGGTTTGTTGGTTTGGGGCTTTTTTGCTGCATTCCCTAGCTTTAAAAAAACCCATGAGTTCCCAAAGCCTGGAAGCCCTCCGGCCATGGCCCCATCCTGACGTGAGTACTGTCCCTGTGCTGCGGCGAGGGGGAGCAGCTGGTCCTGAGCGTGCACGGCACGCTTGGGCTTGCTTCTCTGCGTGCTCCTCCTGCAGGAAGGGTGCGATATCCCCTGCTTCCCGAGGGCAGAGACGCTGATCCCCGGGGCCGCAGCCTTGCCAGACCTCGTGAGCAGAGGAGGCATGCAGAAGGTTTTGGACATTTGAACGCTTTTTGGGGTGCTTGTTGCAAGCTTGCCCCCTCTGTGCGAGGGGTGATCCCCCCCATGTGTCCTTCCATGTCTGCATTGGGCTCTGCTGCCTTCTCAGTTGGGGCTGGGGGGGGGCTGTTGCAGAGCATCTAGTCTTTGGACTTTGCTCCTTCCTGTCCCTTAATTTTCCAGGTGCAGGGAGGGGGTGATCCTCCCTCCCCGAGGGAGTGGGAGCAGGGGGGTGGCCTGGGCCGTCCCCACCTCTCCGGCATGGCTGGGCCCGCTGCCAGCGATGGGGCCAGGGGGTGTTATCGGGCCTGGGCCGGCCCCAGGAGTGGTCCCCTCCCGGGGCAGCATGATTACGGAAGGGGGGGCTGTGCTTGCCCTGCACCACGACG